TTATTTATATATTTTATAAAATATATAATACTGAGTCGGGCCGGGCCGGGCTTTTTTGACAAATCCCGAGCCCGGCCCGAAACACAGTCGGGCTTACTGTGTTAAGTCCGAGGTCAGGCCCGCGGGCCTAATTATATGACCAAGCCTGATCGGGGTGCGGGCCGGGCTGGGCCGGGCCGTCGGGCTACCCGGCCCATGAACAGGTGTAGTGGTAAGTAGTGGACTTGATGCTCTGATATGCTTAGCCACGTTTTGCTTGTGCATGTTATGAGTTGGTACACTAGTACCAAGTTAGCTCGTTGAAATCAGGTCAGCTCGGCCAAGTCTAATCAGCTCGTCCAGGTTAGGTCAACTCAGCCATGTTAGGTGTGGTCAGCTCAGCTAGGTCAGCCTGCCCTAGCCCCTAGGTGAGTTTGGTCAATTAACAGCTTTGCCCTAACATTCTGCCACTTGGCAGTTTCTAATTGGTGGTTGGTCTTGACCTATCAAAACCATACACATCAACATCAACATGTATAACATTGTCATTGAATACATGAGAAGAGCATCAGTAAGGCTAAATTTGTTTAGGATATAGACACTGGATTGGTACACTAACGTGCTCTGCTTTGGTTTTACAACGTTTGTTTGTCATGGAAATGTCCTCCTAGGCAACATAATTGTTCATTGTCTTCGTTGAGATGGTGAACAAGAGTACAATGGATCCCCTCCCCCCTCTTTATACCACTACAATTGACTATAATAAAGCACCATTACCACCGATCGAGCTAGAGCAACCACCCCTTCTCCATTTTTCATCTTCTTTTACTTTTTTATTCTCTCTCTCTACGTATTCTTCCCTATTTTTTTATTCTCTCTCTACATATTATTCCCTATTTCTTTTATTCTCTCTATGCTAATCGCCTTCCTAGTGACCAATGAAACAGAGCAACGCTACAAATCTCCTTAACATTCTCCGAGTACCAAATGAAATTGAAATGCAATCTTTATGTTTGGTTTAAAGGAAAAGGTAGGGAAAGGAAGGAAAAGGCAAAGAAACCTATACAAGATTCTTTCTTTCCCTACCTTTTCTTTCAGACCAAACATAGCCTAAGTAAATAATTTGATTATGCAACTCTTTTCCCATGTCCCACTGCAAAGGTCCCATCTTGTCTATTGGGTGAATAACACAAGGGGAAGAGGTGCAACTTAGGCTGCGAGCGTATGATTGCCATACAAAAATATAATGATTAAGATGTAAAAAATGTTCTTTCCGATATCTTTATATCATGAGGAGCAATTACTGTACACATTTTTTTGGATACAAATTTGTGCTCTTCTGATAAATGGTGTATTTGACAAAAAATTTAATAATGAAACTCACATTTTGCACTGATTTCAAACAAACAGGAAAAATACAAAAAACGGTTTACCTTTTAAATTCATGAACCAGAAAGAAAATATTTATATAAAATAGATATTTGTATTTACATCACAATCAAATGCAGCCTTAGGAAGACCCAGCCCATGCGAAAAATTTGGATTGGGTCTGGGTTTTGGGGTTGTGGGCTGAGCCTGGGCCAGAAATCTCGGCGTTAAGGCTTGGGTTGAGATTTCGGGTAGCCCAAGTCCAACCCATGCCCGACTCGACCCAACCCAGATCTAACCCAATCTAAGCTCGTCTAAACAAAAAACATACCTATATGTATTATATTTATATAAAAATATATGTTTTCTCTAATTATATATACATTCATAAATACATAAAATATGTATATATACATTTGTAAATGGAATTTGTTCAAATTGTCAATAATTCAAGCTTAACTAATCTGGCTCGGCCTAGCTTGAACCTAAGCTCAACCCAAATTGTGTTGGGTTAACCTCGGGTAGGGCATGGGTTGATAAACTTGGCTTAATCTCACATTGGGCTATGCCCAAGCCTAAGTTTATACCTTTCGGGTTATGCTGGGTTGGCCTTCAACCCGACCCAACCCGGTCGAGTTGGTCTGTGCCTGTGTCTTTTGCCTTTGTTTGATAAATGAAAGAGAATGCCACACGTCCATCCGTCAGAGAAGAGAACAGTCAGGCTGTGCCTGGGAGACTTGTTGGAGAGGAAAGCAATTGCTAATGCAAACTGCAAACTGAGACGTATACCAAAAAGAGGTCACGTCGACCTCGAGAGACGAGGTTCTCTTCTTCTGAATAGCCGCAATAACAGCTGCAAACCTGCAGCCACCACAACATCAACTCCCCATCAATTCAAACGAATCTCCATCTCCCTTGGTTCCGTCCGATTTCAATATACGGCAGCCATGTCTTCCCGAGACAAGAAGTCCTCCAAGCCGTCCAGCAGTCGCACTGGAGGCATCCGTACCCTCTCTGATTTGAACCGTGCGTCTAGTCCCGGCTCCGATGACGACTCTGATGCCCCACAGGAATACTATACCGGCGGTGAAAGAAGGTACCCGCGTGACTTCCCGCCCTTGCTTTTTTCCAATTGAGGTTGAAAACAATTTGGAATTTGAATCGATTTCAAGAGCCCTAGAGAAGTTTAGGATTCTCTTATTCTTCTTTTTCTTCCAATTAATTAATTGGTATTGAACTATTATTGATCATGGTTTCTATGATTATTTTGGTGGACGTTGAAATCCCGGCAAAAGATTTTGTGTTCATTTCTTTGATGGTTCTCTCGTTGACGAATTTCGATTCTGTTCTATTAGGGGAATTAAGCGGATGTACGCAAGAAATTGGCATTTCCTTTCTTTCTCAGACCATGTTTTCTTTCAAACTTTGGCTCTGAAATCCCGTGCATGTGTTACCCGTTTGCAACTTTGCATGTTTTTTACGTGCGAAACAACCCTCATGGAACTGAGATTATTGGGTAAGTTCTATTCTTGACCAACAGTTGTATTCTCAATCAATAACCATTTTTGAACCTTGAAAACTGGAACCTGAATTACACTTTGCTAGTCTACCATATTGCTTCTACTTTCTGTTGTGCCACCATTCAATCCGGTTATGAAGAAAGGCCATTACCCAATGTTAAATGCTGGCCCAGCTATCTGGTGTCTTGGGAAGGGTAGGCAGGATATGTTACTGACCTTTGGTGGCAGTTTTTGCACGAAGTGGTTGCTCTCAGATTCAATCCAATTATCACAATGCTTGTGTATTTAGCTCATCGATTCCCTACTCGAGTAGCCTAACTTTAACCTTTAGAATTCCTTTAATTTTTATAATACCAATTCTAGATTCTAGCTTCTGTGCCTGAATTCCCAAAATGCATGCAAGTTTAGGACCCATTCAACCCTAACGAGTTAGAGTTTCTTAGAGCATGCTCTGAGTAATCATATTTGGTTAGTCCACACTCTACATACCCTTCTCGAGCCCTTAGAATTGCTACTCAACCATTCCAATCTTCAGCCTTTCAAATCCCTCAAGTCTTACTCTGTTTTAACTTCCCCTTTAAATTTCTACTCAACCAGTCCAACCTTCAGCGGTTGAAATCCCCCAAGTCTTACTCTATTTCGACTTCTTGTCTATACCCAGCAAATAGGAAATGCTAAATTGGGTTTCCGTACACAAGGTTGGTTGTTACAGTGGCTAGCTGATCTCATACCATAGCATAACTCTCTAGCCTGGAATCCAGATCAGGCCTAATATTAGCTATGTCCCATTTAATTGTATTATTCTATGCCTGAACTTAACTTGATTTGAGTTTGGAATAGTCATAGCATTTGCCAAATCTCAGAATGAGTGTAGAGAGGAGGAAAATGGGATACAGATGGTAACCATGAAAGAACCCTCATGTTTGTTGTTCTTCATTCTATAACAGTAGTGGTGGCTACGGTGGAATATGGGAAGTTTTGTTTTTGAATGAAAGCAACAAATTTTATAGACGATTACCAGAATATGGCTGTTGATTTGGATCTGGAGATCACTAATGTATTGGCATGCTATCTTGCTCCATTTTATCCCAAGTAGTAGATTGAGGTGAAAGTTCTTTAGGGCTATCTTGAGTTGTATTCTATACTCTTTTAGCACTATATATCTATCAAAATTATGAATTTGAAGAACTTTTTATTACGAGACCTTTATTTGCATTTTTCTCCTCGTTCTTTTATGTTTTATTCACATTAGCTTTCTTTCCATGAATCTTGGGGTTTGTGAGATATCGGGTTGTGCCGTAATATTGTACTCAGCCTCTATCTATGACTTCGCTATTCTCTCATTCTGAAGTCATTATCTATTTAGAATTACAAAGCATGAAGTGGGGAAACCGGTGTTTAAATTGTCTTGGTTAAAATGTCTGTGTATGTAACTCACCTCTGGTAATGTTGAGTCAGATAGATTGCAACCAATTGAAAATATACATACCATGATATACTTTCCAAAATCTTAATTAAGTATATCAATATTTCCTGTGCACGAAGGTGAGTATTTTACCAATTATATCTTTAAATTTCTCTTATTGTTTGATAGCTTTGGTTAACCCTAGAATTACCAATAACCCTAGTATTTTACCAATTACCAATACTCTCTTATTGTTTACATCAAAACATGTACTAATAATATCATGTTATATTTGGGAGTACTATAAACACCCTAATTCCAACTTACAAAATCATACTGTCAACTTTGTTCATATGCTTTCTTATTTCAAAATTATTATGTGGCTCTTTTTTCTGTAGCTCTCTTCTGAACAAGATGCAAATACTATATTTGGAATTCATTTATCTAAGAATGATTAATGTCTGACTGGTGTCATTGATATTGCTAATATTCTGCAGTTGTATGCTCGTCCAAGATCCTTCTACAGGTAATGATGTGGATGCAATATTTAATCAAGCTAGGAAAATGGGAGCCATGGAGGGACCTTTTGAAAACCTCCATCCATCTTCAAGCTCAAGAAGCTTCACTGGAACTGGGTGACTACTCTATGGTGAGACTGTCATCTGCTCCTCAACCGCCTGAGGCTATAACTCACAACATTATATTTTAGAGTAATGGCTTTACTGTAAATGATGCCCTTTGAGGAGGTTGGATGACCCTGAAAATGCATCTTTCTTGGAGGTTATACTGAATTAGGTTCTATTCTGGACGTGGAATGATTATTCTTAATTTTATGTTTTTTGACAATATATTGCTTATGCTATGAAGTTCAAAATCTGCAGTGTCCTATCTCCCCCCTGCACAAAAAAAAAAGGAAAGGAAAAAAGGGAAAATGTCGGTTATTGACTGAGTTCTTACAATTCAATGCTTTTAGAAGGTGAAATATTACTAACAAAGAAACCTTGAAGTGTGGCTCCAGTCCTGAAAGTGTTCTGGTGGGCATTAATAGAGTGGAAGGGAATGCCCTCGACTTCTTTCTATTATCAGGCTACCTATTCTTTTGTTATTTTGGATTTTTTAAGCAGTGAATACAGGAAACCATTCCATTTGGGAAGGTGCAACAGATAATAGAAATCATTGCAACATATGAGTGTCACTTTTCTTCGGGACTTTTGTACTCTGGTAGTATCACAAATATGCTTTGAAGTTGGGCCAAGTATAATCAATAATACTCGGCATAGTTGATAGTCAGCATATAACAATTGGTTACTCGTAACAATGCAGAGCATCAGGAAATCTGAATGTCCCAAGGAATTTGAGCCAGAAGATAGGAGGTCTCCAGTTCAAGTCAATCTCAAAAGGAGGGGAGAGAAATGTCCTGTGAGTCCTTTAACTGCTCTTCGTCCAGACTTGACTGTTTCCTCTTATTATTCTTCCTCCTCATCCTTATTTTAACTGCAGGAACCAGAGAAGTGCCATATTCCATTTCAGGGTGTAGGAAGAACTTTAGGTGGCAGCTCCAGTTCTACAACAGCCCCTGAACCCACTGTCACTGCATCTGCTCCATCCCCCATTTAGGGACTGGTTTTGGATGAAACATTGCCATCGACCTCAATTCATCTCAGATCGGCTCTGCCCTAAAAACTTCTGGATAACAACTGAGTTAGCAAGGCCAGCCGGATCTATTGTCTGGGTTACATCAGTGAGTTGCTTTGCAGGGAAACCCACAGTTTGAAGCTGATACATTCTTGTCCCTCCAGGTTTTGATGCATCCCAACCTGTGGTCAACCATATCAACAGAGCCATTTTTATCTTGTCTTTAACGAGACGTTGTATGTAAAGAATCATTGTGCTTCACTCTGAAGGCATTTCTTTTGCACAATATGATTTTACAAGTGAAACCTGCATAGGGTGAGGATGCTGGAACATGCTTCGTACCTGATTGTTTTGTTCTAGTCAGGTGATGCTCAAACACTTGAATATAGAACAACATGCGCAGATATTAGTTTAATAAGGAGATAAGCTTTTGCATTTCATTTTTGGGAAAAGTTCCATTGACAAGATTTCAATAGATTGCTTCCATTGATTTTTTTACTTAGATTTGACCTGATGGTGGATGACAGATTTTGTTAGCTCATCATCCCACTGTGGTTTAGTTGCCAGTACGAGAGGCCAGTTCTGTTTCTTGGCATTCGTCTAACAACTTCATTCTTTCTACAAGGGCATTTTTTATTTGGAAAATTCTCCAACGGTGAGAGAAGCATCATTTGGAGTTAATTCCCAGTTCCCAGCAATTAAGCTGGGACATCCTACATCCTCAGGACAGGTTCCAGTTACGGTTCTTTTGGTCTATCCAATTCCAAGCAGCACTGCAGCACCCTGTTCTTTTCCTAACCGACTTCCCCAGGATACTGAGATCAAATCAGCCCCCACAACGTCCCATCTAGAGATGTTTCCAATACACGGCGGGGATGTGCCGTGAGATATTATGGGGCACAGTCTTGTGGGGGCTGATTTGAACTACAGGATACATACCAGATGATACGGATTGAGAGCTGCTGATGTGTGCATTGTTGGGCATCGGGGGTTTGTATTAGCATATTCATATCCATTGTATTATTGTATAGATGGATACTAGTCCACTTTACCAAAATTTGGTACCCACCGATACTCATCGATGTGCATTAATATGTTCAAATCAAGGTGGGAGTATCGGGTGAATCGATATTTCTTTTGGTGGTTTTTTTTTTTTTTGCCAATTGGTTTAGGGGAGCCAATTTAGGTCTTTGCCACACCCTGAACCAGTTAGACCACCGATACACCTATTGTAAGGGTGTATTAGTGGGGTGTCGGAACGATACGTATCAGCCGATACAGGCCGATATATATCGATACTTTGAACCTTGGTTTGAATGCTTTTCTTATTTGACTTGAACCCAAGAAATGCAATCAAATCTTATTAAACCTTTATCCATTTGGCTGTAAACTTGGTGGGAAAGCTCTAACAACGAAATGACTAAAGGTCTATGATGGTGCGCAATCCGGTCGGTCCTAACTGTCAACGACCTTACCTCTGATTGGAGTAACAGGGGGCCTGAAATGGAGAAGAAAGTGGAAAATCTCTGGGGAGGAACCCGACGAGATCACTCCGAAGCTCAAGTTAGTATTCTCTCAAAGGCAAGATAAAACCAGATGGCGTAAAGTTCACGTACCTTGCCCTTGGGGGGTAGAGAGCCTTTTATAACCACTTTGCGCACTTACTCCGAGGCTTTTGTCAGGTCGGGTATGATTACTTCTGTGCTTCCGCCAGTTCGGGTGTCATCACCTCTGTTGGGACAGAACTGCCATTGCTCCTTGTCGGAGCTGTCTCTGTAACTGGAGATGGCGGTGGTAGGTGGCGGTGGCAGGTGGCCGTTGGAATGCGGCTGTCAAGCATCAGATCCCAAGTCAGTCAGGTGCGCCGCCCCTGGATACGGACTCCTTCGGTGTCAGGTACGGTTTGTTCAGTTCGGTGTCTTGGGGGCGAAGTGCTGGAGTGGTGTGCAAGGCGAAGTCTTGAGTTCGGACAGAGGTGTGGCCCGAACTGCCATGGGGCAGGCCAGTTCGGGTTGTTGCCCTTTGTGTTCATAAGGCCCGGGGCCTAAGGGAGAGCTCGGGCTTCGCACTGGGAGTTCAGGCTCCTTGCAGGGAGTTCAGACCGTTGGTTCCTCCTTTAGGAGCTCGCGCCTTGTCGAGCTGTTGCCTTTGCCACGTGTTGAGTGGTTACGAGGTCGGGCCAAATCTTCCTTCATCAATTGCCCCCCACTCCTCGTACTAAGGGTCTTGCCTTGGCGCGGGGAGCTCGCGAGGTGGCGGGTGGATTTGTCCCGTATTTCGAATCGGTTGACTGATAGTGCGAGGTGCGTCGCCAGGATTCTTTCGGGTTTCTCGAGTGCCCAAAAGACGGGAAACGCGTCGATCTGCCTACAAATGCTGATAGACGTGACAGCGTGCGCCTTATCTCAAAATTCAAAAAGCGCGCCGCTGGGAGACGTGACAGCGCACGCCTAATTTCAAAATTCAAAAAGCGTGCCGCTGGGAGATGCGACAGCGGACGTCTTTTCAAATTTGAAAACGTGCCGCTGCCGCCTTTAATGTGAGGAGACATGCGGTCAGTTTCGAGAGACGTGTGGCCAGTCACGTCTTGGTCTCAGGAGACGTGCGGTCAGCGCGACTGCGGGCCATCGGATTGGCTTTGATCTGAGCCGTTGATTCTCGATCACTGTGGGTATAAATAGTGGGGGACCCCAGTCCCTTTGTCACTTCTATGCTTTGCTTCTTGAGCTCGCATCCAAGTTTCAGCTCGCGTCCAAGCCTTTAGTTCGCATTCAAGGTCTTTTGCTTGTGTTCAAGTTCCCGTAGTCCGTTCAAGCCTTTTTCCGGGTGAGTACTTTCCTAGAATCCATCTTCTCTCCTCGATGTCTAGCTCGGATAGCTCAGACGGTTCTTCAAGGGGGTCAGATGCAGGTTCTACGAACCAAGTTGCATCCCCTGATGGTCCTAGCGAACCGGAGGTAGAGCTCGAGGAAGAGTTCGAACCCGTAGGCCGAGTCGCCTTGGGTAGTTTGGCATCCACCTCTCGTCGAGGTCGGACGTTAGATAAGTTTGGTCCCTCGACCATGACACCTGAGGGGCTTCAATCCCTTATTACCTATTACAACTTGCTTGGGGAGTATGCCTACTTCATACCTTCGGGTAGCTTTCCTTGGGAACATGGTCCTGAAGAGATCGTGATATTCCGGGAGCAGCTCGCTGCGGGGCGGCGACTGCCTTTCCACCCCCTCTTTGTCGAGGTCATGAACCACTTTGGCGTTACTGTCGGCCAGCTTCACTCGAACTCCATCCGTAACTTGGTGGGGACAATCTCCCTATTTTGCGAACAGGGCTTTCCTTTAGACTTGGAGATCTTCTCTTCCATCTTAATGCTTAAGAAGCAAGCGGGTTCCCTTCCCGGGCGTAGGCGGGCGTATTACCTGTCTCCCCGCCCGGGTTTTAAGCTTTTACATGAACTT